TTTTGGGGGTAAAATGTTAAGTTTAGGGTAAAAGACTAAATTGAACACATTTTGTCATACATGAAGGACTATTTCAATCACCTAGAATATATTGAGGACCAAAATAAAGCAACCCCAATACATCAAGGACCATTTTGATCATTTTCTCTCCATAGTACTAGTCTCCTTATTCTAAAAGGACATTGTATTTAATATTTTTTTTCTTACTTTTTATATGACTTTTTCCAACAAAGAACGTACAAAAGACGAAAAATAGTACAAGTCATTTAAAATCCATAACACTCCTTTTCCTTTACAACTCTAATCTTATTCAACTTTTCATCTTATATTTAGATTTTAAAAAAAACAAACAGAAGAAAACGCTTCATCCACAATAGAGAAAAAAACTTTATTCTCTATCCAAAACGAAAAAAACTGATCATCTTTGATTGTCTTCCCAACAAAAAATAAAAATAAAAACACTTCGTCGTCAGAATACTAAATTGAAGAATCGAACGTATGTTCTTAGATTTACAATCAAATTCAATTTTTTTTCTTTTAACATATGAGTTCTACTTAACCATAGTTTCAAAAAAAAAAATACAGATCTTCATATAAATATTCTTGACACAAGATTTATATATATATATATATAGAACACAATCAATACATAATTTCAACGAATACTACATAATCGTTGAGTAATTAACGATGGCTCTGATACCAATGAAAGAATTTAAACAACATTTGGTACAAGATTTGTGTGCCTTTGATTGTTGCAGCGGAATGAAATTCACGAACTGGATGAATTGCTCCAAATCCTTCTTTGAATGACTAGGAAACAAAGATAGTGTTTCACAAACTAAATGTTCTTTTTGTTGTGTGTCTTTAATCTAAGAAGATTTTCTTATTCTCTTTTGAGTTTTTGCTGTTTTTCTTGTTTTTTTCTGTCTTCACTAATCTAAAAAGTAAAAAGAAATAAACTTGATTTAAAAAGGAGAGCATATTAACGTTGGAACAGTTCCCACCCCTTTTTGAATTAGTATGTATCTTTTTTTTTTATTTAGAAAAAAAAAATCTTGGGTTGGATTGGATCCAATCGGATTGGGTCGGTTCATATGGGCAATCCACAACCCAAAGCTTACAGTGTCTCAATGTATAAAACTATAAATTATTTTAGGGGTTACACTAATAAAAAATTGTGGGATTAACGAAAATAAAAATCAATAAATTTCACATTAAAGAATCTAAAAAATGATTTATTTTCTTAATTAAGTGTTATTCTTCTAATATTAGTTATTTTATTGTGATTGAACAATAGTTCTTCGTCTTCTTTTTTTTTTTGAAAAATTATCCTTGATTTCTAACATATATCTATATTACCATAATCTTACAGAAGGCTACTGAATATGAAGTTGTTTGATACGAAGAGGTAGAGGTGGATCCAGAATTAAGAGTTTAGGGGTTCTAAGTTTTAGGACAGATGAGAAAAATATTGCAAAGCATACTTCTTTTTAAAAAAAAAAAAGAAACTTAGTTGATAGTGGAGTTCAAACCCACAACTCTAGCGCGAAAAGCATTTTCATAACTCATTCCTTACCACCGAGCCATCAATTAATTTTGTTAGGGGATTCACAAGTTAATATACATATATATTTATTTGATTAATTATGTGTTAAATTTTTTTATCAAGAATAAATTAATTATGTGTTAAAAATTTTATAGAAAAAATTGATTATTTATGATTAAAAGTATAATATTTTAAATATATATTATTTTACCCACTTTAACATCTTTTGTACTTTGTTAAAAATAAGAATTAATAATGAAAAGTGTTGAACAAAGTGAAATACAAATTCTTTTTTATTTGTTTTTAAATTTTAGCTTCAAGCATACAACAAGCATATTAAAAGGGGTATACCAAGTTATCAACTTCATGAGATTATATGGTTCTAACTCTTATCTTTATTCAAAATTTGTCAACTTATTACTTATAGAATAAAATTTGAATAAATGTGTATACGAAGTTTGTTTATATTTTAGGCCTCAAATTCAAAATTTGTCAACTTATTACTTATAGAATAAAATTTGAATAAATGTGTATACGAAGTTTGTTTATATTTTAGGCCTCGAATTGAAATTTCGCTTTAGACCCCCAACTACGTTGAGCCGCCCCTGCGCCGAACCCATACCCCCCACCCAAACCCCCTAAATCCCCGCTTAGCTCCGCCCTTGTGAAGAGGTAAGCCAAAAATTTATTTTAGTTGGGGTTGTTAACTTGCAGGGATTTATATTTATATATATTGTCTACGTACTTGCCGGCAATACAGAAGTGGAGCGTCAACTTCTCTGGCTAAAATTTATATTTTATTTTTTAATATTTTTGTCTTTTTTTTCTTTTATATTTCTCTTTAAAATATTTTTTGACAAAATTTCTCTTTAAAATATTTGTTGGAAGAAAAATACAAAAAGTTCATAATTGTCTACATTCATTGCCAAAAAAAATATTTAAAAGTATAAAGTATTTTCAATTTACACTAATATTCTTAATCTTCATGTCTTATTAGCCTTCAAAGTTTAATATAGATTGATTTTCATTTTATTTTTACAGTAATTATTTTAATCTCTTTTTTCAAATTTAGTTTTGCCTTCAAAGTTTAATATCAATTACGGAGATTGATTTTCATTTTATTTTTACAATAATTATTTTAATCTCTTTTTTCGAATTTAGTTTTCTTTCTTATGATTGGGTGAAACATAGATAAGTTTGCTAGTTAGTGATAGAGAGAGAAATGAACTTTTAAAGTCCGAAGAAGTTTACTAGTTAGTGATAGAGAGAGAAATGAACCTTCAAGGATTAATTTAAAATAAACTTACTACTCTGCATTAACCAAAACTTGACCCCGTAGAGTGGCAATGGAGCGGGGTGGATTTAAGTCTATGCGGGGGCAGGACGAATTTAAGGTTGTGCGGGGCAGGTAGAATTGGATTTTTAAAAAATTAATGCGGGACGGGACAGGTTGTGGGTATATGTGATTTTATGTGGATCGAACTTAATTAACTTTTTACATGTTAAAAGAATGATAGAGCATTAGTTATTGAGATAATTCATTAAAGCTACTAAAATATTCAAAATAATAAATGAAAATAGTTCAATAAAAAAAAAATACAATTTCTTACATGTTCCCCAATTAACCTCTAAAAAATAGATTTTAAGTCACTATCCTATTAAATTATTGCAACCTAATGAAAAAAAATATTATTTTTATGAATTTTATTTTTAGTATCAAACTTAGAAAAAAACTAATTTTAATTATATATTATAAAAGAAAAAAAAACTTAACTAGAAAAAAAAAAATATTAACAAAATTATGCAGGACAGGTCTATGCAGGGCGGGGCAGGTTGGAAATGAAAAGAGTTGTGGGGTGGGGCTGATTAAAAATTCTGCAGGTTAAGCTCAATCTGCACTGCCCCCACCCCACACCGCCCCATTGCCATCCATACTGACCCGACAATTAATGTGACCCATTTTGACCCGCCCATTTGTCAACAACAGTAAATTCCCACACACTTATCCTTTGTAAGAATAAAGAACCATTACAAAGTTTCAAATAATATTTATAAGTTTTTGATGCAGTAAACAGAAGCAATTTATCAGATATGGATTTGCCGCGAAATACATTTGAGTTTTAAACTCAACTATAAAATTTGAGCTAAAAATATCCGTCAGACTTGAATAAAACCCCTTTAAGAAATCAAAATAGAGTCTTGACCTAATAGAAAATTACACGAACACTCATTGAAAGGTGTAAAAATGATTATCGTTTACCTCTACGGAGCTTAGACGATAGTGATTGTCCTTGTAAAGGGACAAAATGTATCGAGTAAGCAGATCATTGTCCTTTCTACTACTAACAGAAAGAAAAAAAAGAATATAGGATCAAAGGGAAAAAAGAGTTGAACAATGTTCGCGGAAAAATGATGCATGCACCCTAACTGTCACTGGTTTCACCATCTCTTCACAGCATCTTAATGAGGTTTCAACAATGGAAAGAAAGAAGTATCACATGCCTGATTTACATGCTTCATTCCATACCATTCGCTCACACCATTGTAGCAGAAGAACTATAAGCTCGTAAGAGGCTCACAACATATGAAGCAGTTAACAGGACCTTCTGCACAGAAATCAATAGATTTGCCCACTTGCATCATAGGAAGTAATCGGGTGTTCTTCGGGTTACATCTGGCTCCCCTCTCCTGGGAGCTGGTTCAAACTGCAAAAGAATTATTTTTAGACTTCATGAACAAATTGCAATTTTATTACAGAACACACATTAATACAGTACACTAATTAGCAAAATTACTTGTCTGGCCTTGACAAAAGAAATTTGTACCAGGATAAGGAAAGAAAGACCAACAAAAAAGGAAAAGAAAAGAAAAGAGCAGAGACCTGAATGAATGTACGGTCCTTGGCATCATCCACTTCCAAGATGGAAGCCATATTACCACAGCGGTAACAATAATTAGGTGCACTAAAGATGGTAACCACCTTTTGATCCTGCAATGAGAGCATCACTCATGAATCTTTCTCTTGGATAAAACTTGCACATAAAGAAAGAAGGATTTTAAGGAATAATTACATGGGCCCAATTGAATCCCTCCATAACCAGCTGGTGTGCTCTAGCAATTAGATTCAAGTTGTTGGTGTGGTTAAATTGCTCAGAAATATCCTGTTGTAATTCAATTAGCAAGATAACGAAGCTTCATATGCTGACAGGAACAAATACAAACTATTCATATACATCAAAAGAGAATGAATATGCAAGTTACCTGGCCAAATGTATATCCAGCACCCCTTGGGGAGATACCCCAACCACAACGATCATCAGGATCAGACCATAGAAGATCACACATGGCCCCCTCATGTGGAACTTCTTGGACCCGATCAAAATTGCGTATATCATCAAGAGTTTCGATAGTCGGAGACAAACCACCATGGAGGCAAAATATCTCTGACTCAACCTTCAAAATATCCCCAACGAACCCATTAAGACTCGAATTACGTGCCAAAGGCAACAGTCAACAATATTAGCAAATCAGAAAATGCATTCAAAAACTAAATCAGAAGATGACTTTAAGCATATTTTCCAGTTTTCTGAAATCATCCAGGAAAGTAATATCCGGTAATCCACACAGGCTTTGAAAAGAATCACCAAGGTCAGAGGCTTGCTTCCTAATATATCCAACATCTTTTTGGTGCATTGCTTATGTGGAATTTGCCTAGAGTATCACATACACACCATTTAGGAACTCCATGCCATCACTCAAGGTTGCGCAAAGAGCAGCTCTGCTACCATATGTAACAATCCAACCAACAGTAATATTGTTTGTTTGAACTTTGACAATACGCTTAAAACAAGACATTAGGGTCTAACACTTGTTTCCTTGTATCTACTAATATATAAGTGGTAATAAGAACACACCTCATGGTCAACATGTGTGCTTATTAGAATTGTCATTGAATTGGAGGTTGTTTATGTCAATTTAAGGCTTTCCATTTTATAGCTTCATGCTTTGATGATGTTGTACTAAATGTTACAATTTGTGTGCCTTTTCCATATGGCCAAAAAAGGACTATATCGGTAGTTTATCTTTCTTTTTTTACGTGAGCCATCCCCCATTCATTTCAGACTTTATTGGCTACATGCAAATTTAGTAAGCTACTCTTCTTCCTATAAATTCTTTTGAAATATGTGGGGATTTTTGGCAAATAGTTATTATTTATTTCAAAATGTGTTTGGGAAGCCATAAAAATGGTGTATTGAAGAAGCTTCAATTAATTGAAAAGAATAGCAAAGAAGAGAAAGTGTTGGCATTTGATAGGCACTTTTGAGGAAAAGTATTCTTACTTTCATTGGTGCCTTTTTCCTATAAATATTCTCTTTTGCTTCAGCAAAGCATTGAAGAGAAACAAAAGCTAAAAACTAGCAAAAGTACTACTTGCTCTCTTTCTTCCTCCTCTCGTCCTTTCCTTTCTTTTCATCAAGTTTTTTTGCTTTTATTATTTCTTTTAATACTTGCTGGTGTTACTAAAATTTTGTTGATTCATGTAATCTCTAATTAATTAAAGAAGACTTGTTTAATCCTGAAAAATATTTAACTTTGCTGAAATAGTTTCTTAGATTGAAAAAGACAAAAATAGAAAAACAGAGCATTGACAATTTTCAAAATCTAAAACGAATCCTCTACCGAGTCTGAGCACTGATCATACACCTATAAGCTTTACTTTGGGGATCTTGGGAAAGGAACAAGAGCTATTTCAAATTTGAGAACTAATGGTTCAAATACGAGGGTTTTATTGATAGAGTTAGGGATTGGTGGTCATCCTTCAACTTTACTAGGAAACTTGACTTTAGACTGGCATGCAAACTAAAAGTTTTGAAGAGCAAACTTAGAGAATGGAGGAAGGGAGAAGAAGGAAACTTGATCATTCAGAGGAAGAGACTGATGGAATAGATGGCTGACTTAGATGCTGATATGGAGGACTGAACTCACACTATTGAGGAATCTGCATTAAAATCTGAGTTGTTGCTGAAGTATGAGTTGATCAAGGAGGAAATCTCCTAGAGGCAAAAATCAAGGGCTCTTTGGCTGAAAGAAGGTGATAAGAATACTAAAATTCTTTCACAAGACTGCAAATGCACACAAAAGATATAACAACATTGACCAGCTTGTCATACAGGAAAAGTGACTCAAGAGCCAAATAGAAGTAGAGAGAGAATTATTAATTACTACACTAGGTTGTATATAGAAACTACTCAGTGGAGACCCATGTATCAATATGTGTAATGCCCTGTTATAACAGAAGAAGAAAGACAGATTCTTCAAAGTAATTTTGAGGAAAGTGAAGTTCTGAGGTGCTTAAAGTTGTGCGCAATTGATAAACCAGCAGGTCCAGATAGCTTTACTATGGAGTTCTTCATTACATGTTAAGATGTGGTAAAGCAAGACATTATGGACACTTTTCAAAACTTTTATGAGCAAGAAGTATATGAGAAGAGTTTCAATGCAACATTTATGGCCCTTGTACCCCAAAAAGAAAGGTGCCAAGGAGTTGAGAGATTTTAGGCCAATTTGCCTAATTAGTAGTGTATACAGACTGATCTCTAAAGTCTTGACTGAGGCAAAAAAGGGTGGTAGACAAGTTGATAGATTCATAACAAATGACTTTTATTAAAGGGAGACAGATAATGGATGCAGTTTTGGTTGCAAATGAAGTTATTGACTCAAGAAACAAACAAAAGAAACATGGGGTACACTGTAAGCTAAGCTGGATATAGAAAAGGCATATGATCATGTTAGCTGGAAATACCTAGTGAAGATGCTGGATATGATGGGTTTTGGGCAGAAGTGGCTGAATTGGGTAAAGTTTTGTATCTCAACAATTGGCTTCTCAATTCTCATCAATGGTGAGATCCTGCAGGATTCTTCCAAACTCAGAGAGGACTGAGACAAGGTGACCCCTTCTCCCCCTTTTTGCTCTTGATCACTATGGAGGGCCTAAATAACATGATAAAGACAACAAACATGAGAGAGTGGTTAAGGGGCTTTGAGGTGGCTAGAGAAGGTACTGAGAGACTAGAAGTTACACACTTGCAATATGCAGATGACACTTTGATATTTTGTGATGCTGAGGAGGTACTTCTTAAATACCTAAGGATAATTCTAGTCTTGTTTGAAGGTATGGGAAAGAGAGTGCTGTATCCTATCAAGGAGGTGAACAATACGAGATGGTTAGCTTTTTATTCCTGAGAAGTGAAATAGGAGCACTACCAACTACTTACTTGGGAATGCCTTTGAGAGCCAATTCTAAGTCCATAGAAATATGGAACAGTGTGATTGAGAAGTGTGAGGAGAAACTAGCCAAGTGGAAGACATAGTATTTATCCATGGGGGGTAGACTGACCCTTATCAACTCAATACTTGATGCTTGACCAACCTATATGATGTCCCTTTTACCTATTCTAGCAGGGGTCAATAAGAGGTTGGATAGCATCAAGAGGAAATTCTTGTGGCAGGGTAACAAGGAGAAGAAAAGTTCACTTGGTAAAATGAAAGGAAGTGATGACAGGTAAAAAGAATGGAGGGATGGGCATAAAGAATCTACAAATTCAAAGCAAGGCCCCAAGTATTAAATGGTTATGAAAGTATTCAAATAATAACCAGATGTTATGGAGGAAGGTGATTGGAGTCAAATATGATGAAGAGAACAACTAGATTACTAAAGAAGTGACCAATCCTTATGGGGTTAGCCTCTAGAGATCCATCAGGAGTCTGCGCAATGAAATTAAAAGCAACTCAAAGATAAAAGTCTTGGCTGGAAGAAAGACCAGATATTGGAAGGATAATTGGCATGAGAAAGGTAACATGGAAATACTTTTGTCCCAACAAAGTACCATAGCAAAGCTATGGTCCCCACTGGGATGGAATTTCACTTTCAGAAGACAGTTGAATGACTGGGAGATCATGAGTTGCTGAATTTTTAAACAAACCAGCAAACAAATATGGAAGAGTAGGATACCTCACAAAGTTTCATGCTTTGTTTGGTTAATGGCTAAGGAAGCAGTCCTTACACAAGACAATGTCATGAAGAGGAAGATAACCTTGTGCTCCAGGTGTTTCCATGTAGTGAAACAAATAGACTGTCAACCATCTATTTTTACATTGCAAATACACCCAAAATTATGGAGAATATTTATCAGCCTGAAAGGCATTCCTTGGACCATGCCTAGGGAAGTGACCGGGGCCTTAATGAGCTGGGAGGGAGAAAGGGTGCATGCAAAAGACAAAAGTAGATCGATAATTATCCCTAGTGTTATATGGTGGGCTATCTGGAAAGAGAGAAATTCGAGATTTTTGAGAGCATAGTGAACAATGTGTAGAAAGTTAAACTTAACTGCATTCTTTTTTTAGGTTTTTGGTATAATCAGCTATACTCAAATGACACTATCTCTGTTTATTGATGTTCTAGACTCAATTTAATCATAGAGAAGTGAAATTGGGAGTACACTTGTATATAAGGTACAACTCATGCATCGGTATGTGATATAATACAAAGTTACCAAGTTCCAGAAAAAAATAGCAACAAGAATTTTTACGTTCACCAACCATAATCATACCAGGATTACTGTTATAAATTATGACCAGAAAATTATCCAAATTGTATCATTGAAAAAAGGTTATCCTGATGCACATATTTTATTCTAAATCCAATGAAATCAAGTTAGCAAAAAAAGCAATTTGATAAAGCTTCTAAGTGAAAATGAGTGATTTAGTTTGCCAACTCTTTAAATCACTTCTTCAAAATGATAGAGAACACTTCAAACCACCATCAAGTTCCAAGTTTGATTTTGGGTTTTGCAAATGTCTTCCAGGCAAGTCTACTTAACGCAATTTATTGGATATTCAATATATTTCCTAAGCATAAAGAGCTCTCTTAATTCAGAATCTCAAAACATTTTAGGGTCCATTGTCAAACATAATGAATCAGCGCAATAAGCAAAAAGGAAGATCGTATCATATCATCAAAAGGAAAGGACTTCAATAACATCAGCAATAAACATCTAAAGAGAATAAATTTAAGAGACAGAGATATGTGTTTCGAATCAAAATCAATCAAAAAAGAAGGAAGAAACTATTTGCATAACATGTAAGTAATCCACTAAAGGCAGTTAAAAAGATATCATACTAACCAAAGCAGTCAGAGGAAAGTAGTCAAACAGATCTGTGAAAGTCTTCCACACATTGGCATTACCATATCTGTAAAATGCAAATACAGAAAATCACCAAACATTAATTGCTATAAACCTAACAATATGATGAGTCAGAAAAGCATCCATAGTTGCAAGTTTGGTGATATTCTAAGATGAATTAGATGAGCTACTAATGGAAAATAATAAAGTCAAAAGCATTCTAACCTTTTCCTTTTGAAATAAATTAAATTCTAAGTTGCAAGTTTCAATAGTTGCTCTGCTTTTTTACTTGAGTGATAAATAGTAAGGTTTAAGACTTGGGAGCTCTATTTTAAAAATTATATAAATTCATGAACATCAACAAATGCTACATCATTGACTTCTAACACTTCTTTCATGAACGACAGTACATCACACAGCTTGTGCCACTAATGTCAATAGGACCCAAAAGCTTGTGAAATGACTTTCAAGGTTTTGTCCTAGTATAAGTAACTCCAAAAATAGAATGATTCCTCTTTCCGAGAACTCTAATTAGTAAGACAAATATTGCTCCATTTATGATCTCCATTGAACATACCTTCATCTAGCTGACCCACTTCTGCACATTTCAACAATTACTTTAAGCGCATATCCCAATAACTCCAATGATAATATTTTTGTCATTCTCGATTTCTATACTATCCACCTGGATCAGCTTTACTGGTAAAGAGGGAATATTGCTCTGAGTTACAAACTTAATCCATCACTATCATAGAGTATTTGAGACATAAACTTTTACCTTCTAAACTCATATTGACTCTCTATGTTCAGATGATAAGTTGCATCATATGCAGGCACTAGCCCTTAAAGCAACTCTAGAGACTACAACTTTCAAGAAGTTCAAATGACAAAAATGTTGAATATATCTTAAGGAAGTACCACCAATATGTGTATCTCCAGAACCTAGCTACACACATTGTGGAAAACTAGCATATAAACAGCATGCCTTAACTGTGAAATACCAAATCAAGGAATTTGTTTAATCCAGATATCCAAACCCACCTCTCCCCGTTCACCCAAGGCCAAAGAACAGAAAACAATGACATAATGTAACTTACAAGAAGTAAAAATTAGGAGGCTTACTTTCGAAGGCATTCATCATAAAACCCATAAACCTGAGTAATCTGCATGAGACAGAGCCACAATCAGTATTCACCATCCGAATCTAAGCAAGATTAAAAATCATACTGGACCAAATGAATAAATACTTTTAACTCAATGAATGAAGGGATCCATTTAATGTGGTTTATGTAAAACTTAGAGAGAGAGGGAAAAATTTAATTCAAGAATGAAGTATACCTGACGACTCTCATGATTTCCCCTTAGGATTGTAATTCGTTGAGGATAGCGAACTTTGAGAGCCACCAAAAGCTGGAAACGTGAAAACCAAATGAGTATATAGTCAAAATGAGACCATCACTAGCAACAGCTACACAACAGTAAGCCCATCTCATTAGTGAAAAGATCTTCCAGTACAATAGTGAACAACTCTTCTTATGCATGTAACGCTGTTACACTTATGGTTTCGGACTTCATACATTCCAGCATACCAAATTGTAAATTCAACAGTGCCCCATGATATCGAATAAGTCAAAGCAGCCAATGACAATTTTCATAAGTGAACTTTTTTTAAGGTTTCAATTTTTCATAAGTGACTATCATAGAAAATGAAAAGCTTTGAACACTTCAGATAGCGAAGCAGAGAAGATATTTCTCCAAGTTTAAGAGATCAAATGTAAAAGGGTACTGTCCTGAAAAGGTGTACTGTAACATGAGAAGAACAAAAGAGATGCATTCGGAAGATGGGAAAGGTTACAAGTATTACATGATTTTGTCATAAACAACTGATATATCATTACTGCATCAACTTGTTTTTAGAGGTAGAGGAGCTAAAATCTCACCGAAACTGTTTCGACAGAATAGTATCCACGATCCACATAATCTCCCATGAATAAATAATTAGTGTCGGGACACTGCCAATAAAACAAAAATTAGGATATGTAAGAAGATCAAATCTGATGACAATCACTTCCATGGAAATGTTAGAACTACTTGTTTTCAAGTAACAAATGAAAAAGTTAACAATTCAATTATCACATTAATTGTGACAAAAGCCACATTATTACCCATAGGAACATGCATTATGTAGCTCATGTCCTTAACAATATAAGAGTCCTCGGAGCTTGTAATAAAGTGACTAACCATACCATAGACCATTTCTGAAGAATTATTCATATCATGCACCATTTCTGAAGATTTCTTCTGTTCATTTTTCTTTCATAGCGTATTGGTTTTGGTTTTGGTTTGCTCCATCGCAATGAAAAGAAGATACATCTTAGCTCTCTTGAGTTAGTGAAACGGCTTAGATCTAGATTGTACTGAGTTCACTTTCAGATTATTAACACAGCAACAAAACTAGAGTTCATCACTTAGAGAACATTATATGCAGCATTGCATATAGCTTCTAATAATAGCATATTAAACAAATTCTCCTCCTTCCTGAAGAAGATAGGAAGTCTTCTCCCCAACCAGAGGAGTAACCAAATGACTAACATATTATGAAAACGTTAATTGCCACCACGTATGACTATGATAAAAGACAATTACACAATTCTTCTTGCCCTGGCATGTCCCCTAGTCTCATCTTCCGGCAAGAACAAATCTGTAAAGTAGAAAGCAAGGCATAAAAAGAACTGATACCTTCCCACCAATTCGAAAAAGCTCAGCAAGATCATGGAACTGCCCATGAATATCACCACATATCGTCACAGGGCTTTTCACAGGCTGCAAAAGGGAAGTGGAAAACTAATCAGTACTCCAATAATCAATCCACCCACGAGGTTGGAAACATTCACATGCAACATGTTCAAAGTAAAAAGTGATGCAAAAGCTCTGAAAGTCGCTAAACAGTATTCCAATTAATTAACATATTCTGTCATAAAATAAAATAAAATTACTTCACATGCTCTCTGTATGAGTTGATAAAATAAAGGGGAGATTCAATACAGGCTATCATAAACTGAATCAGTTTGAGTCTTGCACTACCTTCTCATAGTAGATGTTCTAAATCGAGACCTCATGGGGATGACCTAGTGGTTGTGGCATGGAAGAACAACCTAAAATCCCAGGTTTGAATCCCCGGCTATGACTATTGGTGTGAGCCTATCTGCTAGAGAACAGGACTACCTTGGCAACCAGTGCGTGTGAACAGGTTGCTCGCTAGATCAGTTGAGGTACATGTTCACCAGCGAGACATTATTGATTTACAAAAGAAAGGGATGTCCTGAATTTACTACCCAAACATTAATAGGAAAAAAACTAGCTCGAAAAACATCTTACATTCATAACTCCTTGTGGGAAAAAGAAAATCATTAGATTGATATTGATGGAGAAATGTCTATTATAAGGATTTGAATTGTGAAAAGTAAAGATATTAGTGGGAAAGATGCCACATCAAATTAATACAATATTGGCCTGGTTTGGAGGGAAAAGAATTGCCACTTAGGTCAGCTTTTTACAATATACCAAAGAGAAAGGACGCGTCAACTTTTAGGGACATGACAGAGTAAAAAATTGTTTAGACTTTCGTATTAACGTATGAGTACTGTAGCAAGTACAAAATAAGCTGAAATCTTGACCACATACTTGAGATATACCTAAGGGCTAGTAGTGCAGCTTCAAAGCTTGGTGAATAATGTGATTGTCCCTCTATCCCTCTACGCTTCTCCACTTAAATACTACGCTTTTGTCTGCGGCAAGATCCGAACCCATGCTGTGCCCCCTAAACCCCAACATCACATGGTATGCTCTTACCACTAGACAAAGTCTGGGGTAACTGAAGTAAATAGTTTATTGTCTTTATAAGTTTAAATCAGATCAAAATGAAGTATTTCGTACAAATGAAGTCGTGACCAGGTCCAACTCTCTACCTGCCCTCCCAGAATGGAAGGAAATAAATAATATCTTCAACAGAAAAGAAGAGGCGAGAAAACATAACCAACCATAGAGGTATCGTACCTGCACATTACTCTCTTGCACTAGAATCTCCTTCGCTTTCTCACACAGTCCTCTTACCTACACAGCAAGCACCTTTATCAGCCAATTCTTTCATTACTAATACAAGAGGGGGAATAAAACACGTGCACCATAATAAAGGAGCCACATGAAGCAAGCCATTAAATAAGAGCTTAACATAAGCTCAGATGCATAAGCTCAAAATAAAACAACTTCAGTAGAAGACCCAAAGTATTGATAAATACTTTCTTTATTATAAGCTTAATGTCCATCTCTTTCCCAGTATACAAGCTTCTGCAATAAACGCCACAATCTAGCATACTCAAAACGGTAGCTTCTGCTAACTACCTTCTGGCCTACTGAAATTCATGTGAATGATCATGAAAGCTCTTCGAATCCTATTTCACTGGAAAAAGTGATTCCATTCTGTTTTTGCTTTCTTTTCTCAGAGGAGGATGGGGAAACCTATGTAAAAATCTGCAATAAGCCATTACCATTCCTTTCATGGATTCCATTTCTAACAACTATTATTAAGGAATTAGCAAAGTCAATTACAAGCTCATGAAGGAAGAGAGATGACACCACCATAAAAAGACCAGATTGTCCAGTACAGATTAGTAAAAGATTGATTATACAATCAGAAGGGAACAAATTTCTGAAATACGCTTCTAAGAATTCGAGAGCACTAGGAAGTCAGCAAGTGACCAAGGAGCAAAAAAGGGTCAAAAGTATATATGATGCCACATTCAATTTGATTGAAGTCACAGATTTTATATGACAGCACCATTTCCATCTCTTTTGAACCCCACCATAATCTGAATTCCCAGAGTAACCAAAAAACTACGAGCTCATGAAGGAAGACAGGAATCCATTCATTATACTAAGTGTCATTAACAAATTCAAGTTCTTTTTTCTTTTAAAGTGGTTACACCCATTCCCCCTCAGGAGTCATCAGTAGCCCTTTCACTCTTTGCTCCCTCGGTACACAAATCCCAAGGTTGGAAGTGGAGGTCTTCTCCACTAGGCTATCCCTCACTTGTAGAAAACAGTTCAAGTTTTCAACTTAAAAAGATTAATACTTCACTATTTTTTCATAGGATCTTGGAATTCTGTAGAAAAGGGAAATGAGGACAACTAAAAGTAAAAAATGATTGTCTGCCTCACTACAATTCATAGAAAAATGATACTAAAGAACAATAAAATAAACTTTTCCATGGTTTTCCTACATCTAAACTGAAAAAAAAAACGTCTTCCTAGTTATATTGCGAATCTTTTAGATAAACCTATAACAGAATTATCTGGAAATATTTCAAAATGAAATCGAGCAACACATGTGTTTCCCTTCTTGAGGACAATTAATAGGAAATATGAGAATCAAGTGTATTTCATGAGAAAATGATACTAAAGAACACTAAAATGAACTTTTCTATGTTTTCCCTACATCCAAAACTGACAAGAAACTGAAAATATTTCAAAGTCTTGAAATCAAATAACACATATATGTTAGTTTCCCTTCTTCAAACCATCTAAATAATGAAGAACACATGGATCTGATTCACATAAACTTGGAATAAAACCAAAAAATTTCGACCAGATAAATCCTCAATCTAGAATTGAATCAAGAAAAATGGCACGAAATTTAAGGGAAAATACACATCCAGATCCGAACCCAAAAAAAAGGAAAAGAAATCGTACCGCCTGCTCGGACAAGGGTTTGCACTGCATAAGCAGACCAATTTGTTCATCAAGATTTCCTACCGAATCCATGGTGATCTTATTCTACTACTTGTGGGTCCAGAGGTAACTCCAAGAAACAGACAACGGCGATGAGGAAACTTTCTTCACACTCCACACTCCACAGCAGAAACCCTAGATTTTGTTCACAGCATAAAAAGGGGGAAGAAATCAAAATGGAGGTTTGATTCGCTTTTGATTTTCTCTCAGCTCCGCACAGAGAGAGAAAGAAAGGAAGAGAAGTGAGTGAGTGAGCGAGTGGTGGTGGTGAAACCAAAGGGAGGAAAGGGTGAAATAGGAAAAAACCTACTCTTTTGCTTTTGTCTTGTTCTCAAGCCTCTTCTGCTTGGAGGTGGGAAGGTGGGAGAGTGGGGTGTAAAAAAAAAAAATCTTAAATATTTTTATTTTTTATAAATTTGTCAAATGTGAATATTTCATTTTTATTCCCATCAAAAAATATATTTGGGGATATTTTTGTCATTTTCTTTTTCATTAATACTAATAGGTAGGTATTATTTGATATCTCCACTTAAGAGCATGTTTGACATTGCTGCTAAAAACTGTTTATTTTCACAAACACTTTTTTTAAAATAATTTTTTAGAAAAGTGCTTTTGAGAAAAAAACAATTTGTGTTTGGCTAATTCATTTAAAAAATGATTTTTTATAAGCAAATTGTGTTTGACTAATCTTTTTTTAAAAATGCTTTTGAGAGTCAAATTACGATTAAAGGCTAGTATTAATGTACTTTTAATATTAAGATTATTTTATAGAGAAAAACTAGTTTAAACATCTATTACAAGAAATTAAATTAAATTTTTATTTTTATTAAATTAAAATGTTCATATTCAAATTTTCAATCAATTTTATACATTTTTTGAAGGGTTGAAATCTTTAATTGCTGTTTTTTTTTCTTCTTTTTTTTTTTTATAATCTTACAAACATATTGTTGTTACCTTTTTCTTGTTTTCTAATTCTGTAAAATAATAAGTAAAATAATAGTACGTAAACGTAAAATAAAATATAAAATATATTATATAAAAATAAAAAAATAGAACTATTAAATGGAACATAACCAAACATATGAGATATGTTAATTAATTAATAAGAGATATAGAAGTGTGCGTGCATGCGTGCCTGTGGGGTGGGGGGGGGGACGATTTTAGTCTTGAAAAAAATAGTTTTTTGCTTCTGCTTTTTTTAAAAAGCAGAAAATTTTATAGCTTCTTCCCAACAGCTGAAAAACTGCTTCTGCTTCTATTTAAAAATAGTTTTAGAGGTTTGCCAAACACCTATTTTTTCAAAAAAAAAATGTTTTTTTCTCAAAATAAGTGTTTTTGGGCTCCTAACAGCAATGTCAAATAGGCTCTAAAATGTAGGACATCCTAAACATTTTGTAACTTTTCAAGTCCACAGGAAGGAACAAAACTCAAAACGAAGCATCCTAGATTGAACTGAAGTCAAAATAGGCTAAATAAGGTGGTCTGCATCGCAGGGCATGCATTATGTGTTGGCCTCAGCGCTGCACCTGCTGGTGAGCTCAATTTCGAGACTAATAATTTATGTGATCACCTTGTGCCCCATTTAGAAAGCAGATAGAGCTTCAGGATGCCCCTGCTTGTGCAAACTTCATGTTCCACAATGGGGTTTGCGGCGCACACTAGTGTATCTATGGAATTATTTTAATACAACCAAGGTCGAGTCTAACTATGATTAGTGGGTTTTTTCTACCACTATAAATAGACCACAATAACAACTTTTCAAGATTACACTCTGCCAATAGATAATAAGGATTATTGTTCATTGTTACGAACTACTCAAAGATACTATTCTTTTACAAAGTCATTGTTAGCATTAGTTCACTATTTTCATAATGATTATTATTGCACTCACAAGAGATTTTTGCAAGCGTTGCAATTATTCAAAATTTATCTTATTTTTTCAATGTAATGTTTATTGCTTACATTAATTACTTTTATTTTTTGCAATTAATTATGAATAGCTTAATCATATAACTAGATTTATGTAACCTAAAGTAGGGATAAGGATAATGCAATCTTCACACTAAAATGTTTACATGAAGGTGTGATTGTTGTGCATCAAGGTTCTATCGTAAAGATTGTCTTTTTAATGATTACAAACATAAGAACTAACTTGTATTTTGACTTACTTGACAAAAGAAGTTAAGTTTAGAAAAAAGAATCATTAGCGTGGATTTGGGGCTACCTACTCCTATCTAATATCTTGATACCTATAATGATGAACAAATTAAATCCACACTCAAGTGTCGAAAGGACTTAGGGTGAAATTCTTCTAATTGGGCTAACAAACTTTAAAAGACAAATAGATTCATCTATTTTGCACAATGAACACACTTGAATAAGTCGATAGTGAATTATCTATTTGAATTCCAGTATATAGGAACATATCTCTAGTTTGTCCAATATTTATAAATTGGTGAAAGTGATAATGAATATGCACTATGTGATTTAGGGGCAATTATAAATCTAGTGCCCCTATTAGTATTTAAGACACACGGCAAGGGAGAGTCGCATCTAGGGCTGGCAAGGGGACGGGGACGGGGACTGGGGGACGGGACGAAGGGGGACGGGACGGGACGGGGGACGGTTCTGGGGGGATTTTGGGGGGACCGGGATTGGGGGGACAAAAATAAGTCTCGTCCCGTCCCACTATATATACGGGATGGGACGGGTTTTGGGGGGACGGGACGGGACGGGACGGGGGATTTTTTATTTTTTATATACTTATTTATTTGTATTGAAATTATATTTTATGAAATTTCAATTATTTCTTCATTTTAATTTATTTATTCTATTTTTTTAATGTTATATATTTGAAAAATTATGTAAAAATATTATATATTGCAATAATTAACGACTTAAATTACTACTTTGTAGAAGTTGTCAGAAGCAGAGTTGTTTGTCGGTGTGTCAGCTTCAAGTCGGAGGTATTTTGTGAAAAATTGTACTTTTTCTATTTTAATTTGTTTGTCTTATCTTTCCTTTTATCTGTTATATATTTGAAAATTATGTAAAAAATATGTAAAAATTCTATAAATCACAATGATTAACAACTTAAATTATTTAAAAGACATATAATATAAATTCATTTATCAATACTAGCCCATTGATCAAGCTTTACTTGAGTCGATGAATCTACTTTCATAAGATAAGACTAAAATTGTGTACAATATCATTTTCTTCAAACTCCATTTATAAAATCACACTAAATATATTATTATTATTGTTCTTATAATAATCCATTGACTAGGTCATGAAGAATTTATCCATCAAAAACTTCTTGTTAGTTAAATTGATCTCTTTTTACTAATAAATTTCCTAACTTGTTGTTTTATTTTATTTTGTTTACGTCTAAGATCATATCATATGTTTGATCAAAATGGTCCTTGATGTATAGGGGTTGAATTATTTTGGTCCTTCATATATATGACCTTATCAAAATAGTCCTTAATGTATATAAAAATATGATCATTTTAGTCCTTAACCCTATAATTAACCATAAAAGTAAAAAGTGTTGTTAAATTTAACAGCGGGTCCCTCAATATTGACACCTAACATACCTCTTCTGCTTCAATCTTCTCACTTTCGCCATTAGAGATCATTCTCCATCTTCAATCCACCCACTTGCCATATTCTTACAAGAAAAGTTACACACATTACACTCATTTCTTATCTCCATGTACCTCTACAAAACAATTCCAGTAGCTTACATTTTCATACATACAAAAAATAAAAGATAAAAATGAGACCACTGACACAAATACAAACTAAATAAATTTACTAAAACACTTCATTATTTCCTCTTAGAAGACTACCATAATTTTAACTTTTTTCTAGCTTTAATTATATACTCTTGTTGAAACTCTTTACGGAAAGGATATAGCTTTTTTGTTTCCTCTTTTTGAAATTAATAATTTTTTTAATTCCACTGTTCATATAAAGGTAAAAATTGAACGGGACAGAGGTAGAAAATAAAAATTTTAAAATATTTTTTTAGAAATTTAAAGAGATTTTAATTTATTAGTCAAAGAGAATTTTGATGATAGGAAAAAAGAATTGGCTTCTTCTTCTTTGTCCAGGGAAGAAGAATTGGGTGAAGAGAGAAGATTTGGGGGAGAAGAGTTTGTCAAGTATTAATATAGAGGATCCACCGTTAAATCTAACTGTACTTTTTATTTTTATGGTTAATTTTAGGGATAAGGACTAAAATGATAATCTTTTTATATACATCAAGGATTATTTTGATAAGCTGATATATATGAATGATCAAAATTATTCAAACCCTATACATTAAGGATTATTTTGGTCATTTTCTCTTTTGTGAGGTATGTGTCTATGTACTATGGCAAAACATTAACTTACATATCAAAACACACGAGTTATAAAGAAAGGGAAAACAAAAATTTAATATGTTCGTAGCTTATAAAAAGTAAAGCTACATAAGTTCAAGGAAACTAATTCTGTCATTACAATTTAAGACACATAAACATACATTAATATATCGATGACTAGCAAAATACAATTTTTGCACCTTAAATTTAGACAAATATTGAATATCTAGAGCTTCAGGTGACTCATGTAGCCTACATACGTTTTTTTATGGGACTTATATTATGAACACTATTTTAGAATAATTAATTTATTGATATTTTTTAATAAGTGCTAATTTTGGTTATTATAATTCAATACACATGAATGTATAGTATTTAGTTGTAAGGTGTCGATAAATAGCAAAATATGTTTTTTTTCCACCTAAAAGTTTAGACAAATATCAAATATCTAATGAACATGAGGTGATTTATGTAGTCTTTACATATATATATATATATATTTGATGGACTTATATTATGAACATTGTTCTAGAATAATGCACATGTTATTTTTGACTTTTATAATTGAAGACACATGAATATATAATATTTAATTATTGTTTAATCGGTATATTGACGATTAACTAAATACATTTTTTGCATTAAAAGATTTAGACAAATGTTAAGTATTTAATGAGCTTAAGATGATTTATGATAATCTATGCATATTATTGATGAGACTTATATTACAGACATTGCATACTTTAGAATAATTATTATTTGTATTTTAAGCATGTATTAATTTTGATCATCACAATTCAAGAAACGTGAATGTATATTATTTAGTTATTTATTTAATTGATATGTCAATAATTCACAAAATGCATTCTTTTGCAGTAAAAAAATTACATAAATATTGAATATCTAATGAATTTGAGGTGGCTTATATAATCTATATACACATTTATTGATGTGGTTTATATTACGAACAT